TTAATAATTTTTTTAATTAAATTAATTTGTTTTATTATATATTTTTTAATATTATTATAATATAATGAATAATATAATAAATATATAATAAATATATTATATATTTTTAATATTTAGAAAAAAGAACTTTTACTTATTTAAATTATTTAAATTATTATTATTTATTTAAATTATATAAACTTTATTTTTATTTGCTCATAAATAATTTTTATAAATTCACAGATTCATAGATTTAATCACAATATTACAAATTCACAATATTTAACATATGATATTATGACATATTCATTAAAAATCCTATTATCATATTAGAATTCTTTTATTATTATGATTTAATGATATAAGCAAAGTTAATTATAATTAATTGTAACTGAATAATAAATGTTATTATGTATATATTATTGTTATAATGTGCAATAATAAATAAAAATATAAATAATTGCATAAGTCTTATTATATTATTTATATTATATGATACTTTAATTTATTTCTTTATATTTGTTTGTATAGAGGTGCTTTTTCTGAAGTACGTTTGGCAGAAAGTAAGGAAAAACCTGGACAAATGTTTGCTGTAAAAATCATTGATAAAAAAGCATTAAAAGGAAAAGAAGATTCTTTAGAAAATGAAATTAGAGTTTTACGAAGGTATATTTTTAATTTTCTTGAATAAATTTATTTAGTTTCTTTTCACTATTAATAATTTATATTATTTATTTTATTTATAATTATATTTTTTTAGGTTAACACATCCTAATATTGTTCAGTTATTGGAAACATTTGAAGATAAACATAAAGTTTATTTAGTTATGGAATTGTAAGTAGTTAAATTAAATATAAATATTTATGAATTATTATTTATAAATATATATCTAATATTTTTTCTCTTACATTAGAGTTACTGGTGGAGAATTATTTGATAGAATTGTTGAAAAAGGTTCCTATACAGAGAAAGATGCCTCTGGTTTAATAAGACAAGTTTTAGAAGCTGTGGATTATATGCATGACCAAGGTGTAGTACATAGGGATCTTAAACCCGAGAATCTTTTATATTATAATCCAGATGAAGATAGTAAGATTATGATTAGTGATTTTGGTCTTTCAAAAATGGAAGATTCTGGTATTATGGCAACTGCTTGTGGTACACCAGGATATGTTGGTATGATTTAATTTTATTAATCTACATATATAGAATAATATATAAGACATCTTTAGAGAGTGAATTCTATAAAAAATATACAAAAAATATTGAAAACTTATTAAGTTTCAAGTTATTAAATTATTAGCAATTTAACTATTTTATTTTATTTAATGCAAATTTAAATTACTTATAATTTAATAAATAAGTATATTAAAAATTATTTAACTGATATTTTTTTTATATTTGTGTTTATTCTAGCCTTTAAATTGATTTTAAAAATGTTTGATAAATATATTAATATTCTATATAAATTTATTCATTATAGCATATTTGCGATATATTGAATCAATTGTTTTTCTTAAAAATAGTAAATTTTTAAAAAAAGTTTTTGACAGAAAAAGAAGTGTTTCTTATAGCAAATATGATAATATATACAATTTTTTTATTTGCAATGTTATTCAAGAAAGAAAAATAAATTTTTATTTTTTAAATGAAATATATAAAATTTCACATCAAGATAAATTTAAACATATATATTATGACCTTCAAGGTTAGACAAAGTCAAAATGAATAAAAAAAAATTGAATATTATATTTACTAATATTGTATTGATAAGGTCACTTCTATTGTCATATAAATAATATCTATTTTTAACAAGATAAGAATTTTCCTCATAATTGTAGATCTGTAAAAAGTGTTTTGGATGAAATATTCAATATGTATTCAATATGTTTGGAATCTTTGAATATGAAATAAAATGATTTCCATGATTATCAAATTTATTATTATTGCATTTTTTTTTGTGTATAATACATCTTTAAAGGATTTGTATTAGGTAATTTGAGGTAATTCAAAATAAAAAAAGCATATTAATTCATAACCAGAACAACATTAGTAGAAAATATTGAGAATAATTTATGGAACACAAAAATGCATTCTTGTTAATAATTTTAAACACAATCAATAGTCTATTAGTAAGTATAATATTAAGAAACATTTATTTATTTCATTTGTTTCTTTTTTGATCTTCTATGAATCTAATATGGAATATATTTGAATTCATTTTGCATAATTTTATAATATAAACAAATTTATATTATTTCATTTAAAAAATTGAAGTTTTTTATTTTTGTTTTTTGAATAACATTACAAATATATAAAACTCATTACATTATTACATTGACTATGAAAAATATTAAAATTTTTTTCTTTATTATTTTTTTTAAAAACTTATTATTTTCGAAAAAAACTATTTTAAAAATTTAATATATCACAAATATTTTATACATGATTTAATTTTTTTTACAAAATTTAAATATATATTTTTTTTATTTATAGCTCCAGAAGTCTTAGCACAAAAACCATATGGAAAAGCTGTGGATGTATGGAGTATAGGAGTCATTTCTTATATTTTATTATGCGGCTATCCGCCATTTTATGATGAAAACGATGCGAACCTATTTGCACAAATTTTAAAAGGTAACAAAACTATTTTTAAAATCCAAATTTTTTTAGAATTTGAGAGGATTGTATGATTTCATTAGTACTATTTTTAAGCTTGACAAACACATGCAGCTGTTCATTAACTTAAAATTTTCATTTTTAAGGTACTATTCTAATTTTAGTATGCTGTTATATACATGCTAGTGTAGTAAGTAAATAATATTTCGTGTGTGTCCACAGCTTGTGGAAGTCATTAATTGTTTAATTTTCAAAAATTAAGATTAAAAATTTAATTCTATATCAGTATAATATCTGATAATAAAATAATATCTCTAAATAAAAAAATGAAAGTATAAAAATTTTATAGTCAATTATAAAAAACAAATTTATTTTAAAGTGAAATAAATAATATTTTTTCTAAATAAAGTAATTTATGCAAAAAGCAAGTAAATCATAATAAAATCATTTGTTCTATACCAAGAAGCTAACCAGACTGTTATAGGTGAATTTGAATTTGATTCACCATACTGGGACGATATCAGTGACTCCGCAAAGGATTTTATTCACAAATTGATGTGCGTCAATGTCGAAGAACGTTATACTTGCAAACAAGCCCTTGCACATCCTTGGTAAGATCATTATTGTATTCAGATATCGTATATAACTTGTTTTATTAAAGTTATTATCTTTCCCATTAAAGTATTTATATAATATTTTATACGTGTATATAATATTTTGAACGTGTTTAAATGTATTTTTAAATTTCAAATAGTTATATTTTTAAATTTAAGTAATGAAAATATTACAGGAAATAATTTGTATTAATAATAAAATAGGTATTGATTAAGTAAGTAAAAGAATTATATTAATTACACATCTCATTACATATTAATATGAATTTATTTTTTTATAAAATTAATTATTAAATTATATATAGATTGAATGTATGTAATAATAAAGTTCATTTTAAATTAAAAATAAAATTTTTTATAACTCTCATATTAAAATCTTTAATAATTCTTACATATAAATAAATATTTTAATATTATAAAAATGAATACAATACAAATAATTAATAAATATAACTAATAAAAAATAATAAAAAGGAATATATTTTATCATTATATATTTAATCATGTTTCGTATCTAATATATATATCTATATATATTTCATATCTAATATAAGTATCGTGAAATTGATATTTTTCAGGATATCCGGCAATGCAGCTAGCA